TCGATAGCCATGTCCATCTGCCTACTTATCAACTGCAACAGGATGGATACGTCGTCCCCTCAGTTCTCTCTTCCGAAGTCCGACACGCCATCAAGTCGGTGAAGAATTGTACAGCACCCGGTCTCGACAGGGTTAAACCGGAACATCTGAATCGACTCTTCACGCGCTACCTGTCGGAATGCAAGGTACCCACTCCGTGGAAAACCAGCAGGACCGTGTTGCTGTACAAGAAGGGAGACTTGGACGACATTGGCAACTATCGCCCAATCTGCCTGCTGTCTGTAATCTACAAGCTATTCACTCGAGTCATCCTTAACAGGATCGGCAGAATACTAGATGAAGGACAGCCATGCGAGCAAGCAGGGTTTCGAAGAGGGTTCAGCACGATCGACCACGGTTACGAAGACTCATTGAAGTTTCACGAGAGTACAAGATGCCGCTTTGTCTCACGTTCATCGACTTGAAGAAGGCCTTCGACTCTGTGGAGACAGAAGCGGTCATCGAAGCCTTGGGCAACCAGGGCGTCCCTACTCAGTACATCAAGATTCTTCGTGAGCTCTACAGCAACTTTACGACCAGAATCTCACCATTCTACAAGGAGGTCATCATCGACGTCAAGAGAGGGGTTCGACAGGGCGACACCATCTCGCCCAAACTCTTCAGCGCCGCTCTCGAGAACGTCATGCGTCAACTGGAATGGGAAGACATGGGAGTGAAGGTCGACGGCCGGCAACTACACCACCTTCGTTTTGCTGACGACATCGTTCTTATAACGCCGAACATCGAGCAAGCGGAGCGAATGCTGGCTGATTTCGACTGCGCCTGTGGTAAGGTTGGTCTGCAGCTGAACCTAACGAAGACGATGTTTATGAGAAACGGATTGGTTCCTGATGCCCCATTCACGCTCAACGGAACGAACATCACCGAATGCTCCAGCTACGTGTACCTAGGTCGGGAAATCAATATGATGAACGATCTAGCTCCAGAGCTGAGCAGGAGGAAACGAGCGGCTTGGGGAGCGTACAAGAACATCGAGGGAGTAGTGAAGAAGACGAAGAACATCCGGCTCCGTGCCCACCTCTTCGATTCCGCTGTCCTTCCTGCCCTAACCTACAGAGACTTGGACTCTGCGCAGGCAGGACGAGCATGCGGTCAGCGTTATCCAACGCGCTGTCGAGAGGACGATGCTAGGAGTAACCCTATACACGCAAGTGCAGAGGGGAATCCGGAGTTCCGAACTACGCCAACGATCGAAGATCAGGGACGCTGCCGTTTTCGCCAAGGAATCGAAGATAAGGTGGGCCGGACACGTCATGCGATTTTGCGATGACCGTTGGACCAGAGCGGTTACCGACTGGATCCCTCGGGACGTCAAACGAACACCTGGACGACCGCCGATTGATTGGTCAGACTTCTTCACGAAACAAATGACAGGGTTCGTGCTGATAATGATCCACTGAACCACGCTTGCATGTGAGAGGGACGAATGGAGACGTGGTGGACTGGTACCCGCTTGAGTAATACATCAATGGGACGACAGGTGATACATTATTATGTACAGTCGCACCGCCCGGCTACGCCGGGCTCTGCTCCTTTTTGGAGTCGGAATGCCCGGCGTAGCCAGGCGATGCGACTGGTTTGGGCATTTCTTCAATTCGCACACGTCATATAGCAAGTATTGATTGGGTGCTGTGGAAATTCCTTCGGGTCACGTGCTACCGATCGATATCGATCGAAAATATCGGTTTTTGCGCAGAGCTCTGTTGGGGTCAGGAATCGCAGTATTGATTGGGTGCTGTAGGAAGAGTGAAAATAGATTGAGAGTTCTAAAAGTTTGAATTCGTTTCATCTACAATTTCCTCAGTGCGGAGCGGGGAATCCGTGAGCCAGGGGGAGTGTAGCCTCTCTAGGGGGTGGGGGTGAGGGCAGTCACTTGACATGCGTGAAAAGCTGGAATGTTCGAGTTTACACTATTTCGCTTGAGAGAGCGCTAGGCGCAGACTGAAGCGTCGTCACGTGGTCCCAACCCCCAACCCACTTTGCACAAAAAACCGAGTCACAGAGGGTTGGAAAAATGATGAGGCTAGCAAGTGGCTCTGGAAGAATGGAATGGCAGAGGAACTTCAGGGAACTCTCGTAATGGAAGTGTCGTTTGCGAGTGTTGTGAAACTGAATTCCCTTTTATCCCCACACCATTGAATTTTTTTGGCTCAATGTGGCTCAGGGAGTGGAGGGGAGGGGGGTTGCAGTCGCCGCCGCGGCGCATGGCATGTTCGACATAGTGGAAGCTCGAACATTCCAGCTTTTCACGCATGTCAAGTGACTGCCCTCACCCCCGACCCCCTGAATTTGCCACATTCCCCCTGGCTCACGGATTCCCGCTCCGCACTGAGGAAACTGTAGCTGGCAATGAATTGAAACGCTCAGGATTTTTAGGGATTCGCTGTGGGTGGCGGCAGCGGGTCCCGCAACGAATGGCGACCTTTAAAAGTTCTCCCACCCTCCTACTCTCAACCTTATTGGAACCTCTGCGCAAAAATCGGTATTTTCTATCGATATCGATCGACATCATGTAACCCGATGAAATTTTTGACCACGGCGCAATGTGGCTTGGGGGAGACAGTCGCACTCGAGGCACGTGTGGCAGCAGGAAATTCGCGGCCAGGGGGAATGTGGCCAATTCCAGGGGGGTCGGGGGTGAGGGCAGTCACTTGACATGCGTGAGAAGCTAGAATGTTCGAGTTGACACTACTTCGCTAAGCTGCGGAGGCCACTGCCCCCTCACATTGCGCTCTGACCACTACCCCAATTAATACTTTGACTTCCTATCTTATTCGAGCCCTCTGCGCAAAAACCGATATTTTCAATCGATATCGATCGATAGCATGTGACCCGATAGAATTTCGACTTTTACCACGGCCCCAATCAACACTGTGATTCCCAACCTCATTCGAGCCCTCTGCGCAAAAACCGATATTTTCAATCGATATCGATCGATAGCATGTGACCCGATAGAATTTCGACTTTTACCACGGCCCCAATCAACACTGTGATTCCCAACCTCATTCGAGCCCTCTGCGCAAAAACCGATATTTTCAATCGATATCGATCGATAGCATGTGACCCGATAGAATTTCGACTTTTACCACAGGCCCCCAATCAACACTGTGATTCCCAACCTCATTCGAGCCCTCTGCGCAAAAACCGATATTTTCAATCGATATCGATCGATAGCATGTGACCCGATAAGATTTCCACTTTTACCAGCACCCAATCAATACTGCGATTCTAGCCCCTAACGGAGCCTTCTGCGCAAAAACCGATATTTTCGATCGATATCGATCGATGGCATGTGACCCGATGAAATTTCCACTTTTACTACAGCAACCAATCAATACTGTGATTCCCAGCCTCCTTCGAGCCCTCTGCGCAAAAACCGATATTTTCGATCGATATCGATCGATGGCATGTGACCCGATGAAATTTCACTTTTACTACTTCCCCAATCAATACTGTGATTTCCCACGTTATTTGAGCCCTTGCCTAACATACGGATGCTTTCAACAGGGATTTCGGCCTACAGTCCGCCCCCTGATTACCAACCACATCTGTCCGACAAACCAAACTACTGCTTTATATTATAAGGGGATTGAAGAACGGAAGACCTTCCCGAAACATTAGAAATTGCAGCACACCTATTCTACCCCTCCACCATTCCGCAACCTTAAACTCCGAAAATTAGCAATTCCACCGATTGTGGGAGGCTGGTGTTGGTCTCTATACAACTCTGCAGTAGAGACCAGCTTTTTTGATATGTTGGGTTCTCCGGATGGAGATGCCTCCTTCCTTCAAGAGCACCAGCCTTCAATTGCTATTTTAGTGCCTGGCAGGATGCGTGTTTGAATGAGCATACTGAATATGTGCACTCTTAATGTGGCGCATGTCGTTTGACCGCTCACGAAAAGATAGAGTGCATAAAATGAGCTTATCCTTGATAATCTGCCCCCTTGACGACGTAATCCAGTACTTTCAGCGCTGGCCAACCTTTCTAAAAGGAGAAAATTGCGATGCACCGGTCCTCACAATCCGATTTACCATAGCTGACAGGTTTTTCTTTTTCTTTACCTCTCCATTATGCATACAATTTTCTGACAGCGTCAGCACGAGGGCGAATTGTTATAATTGCTTACTGTTCCACATTCCCGTAGACCAGAGTTTATTCTTCGTTGTAAAGTCCAGCACCTCGTGATTTTAAAACTCATCCGTGTCAAAGAAGCCCTCGGCAGTAACACTCTTAGGAACAGCAGCGAGTGACATATATCCCATACGCTGCAAGAATCGTAACACCACATCGCCGCACAAATCCACGGATTAGACGTGCTGATCATGGACTTGCAACCATCCACCGCCATTGCCAACTTCCCCACACACCGTAGCTGATATAGTCACACTGTCTCTCGTTCGTACCACATACGCCCTCATTGGAAAATTAGGCCTCTAATTTCAGCTGCTTTACTACAATAAAGCACTCTTATGTACCAGTTTTAGGTGGACTTGACATTCAATCATTGGCGAAGATCACTACTTAGCTGAATTATCCTCTTTTCACAAAGGTGCTTTTCCCTCATTAGCTGCCACAGAACAGATGTTTATTTCTGTATAAAGGATTACTTCTAGTCCATTTTCGTTTTTGCACTGAACTGTATCGGTAATCTGCAATCACTGCTTTCTCTTCAAGCATTTGATGCCGACCGTATATGTAGCTCCTTGTAAACAACGTCTTTGTGAGAAGTTCTGGACTGTCAACGTTCACATTTGGTTCGTTAGCAATATCGCTCAATTCCCACTCCACTACAGTCCTGCCCTGCGTCCTTGTTTGAAGGGTACTCGTTGGGTGTGAGCTTCAAGATAATTGACAATGTCTATACTGGTCTGTATTCATGCAGAATAATTTTGGAAACTACGAGAATTCAGAGTGCGATCATCGACGCTTCACTATCATGACGAAAGGCAATATTTCTGCGTTCACATCTCAGTGCAAGAATGCGGATGTGATAAAGTTGATTGGGCAAAGCAGGCTTCCTACTCAAGGCCTGTCCGTACGAGAATTTATGAGCCTTGTGCACGCTCCAGTATTGGAAATGTGTATCCGAGTGGAAATGTCTACCATAATTGAATTGGATTTCTCTTTTTTGATGAGCCTAATCGGTAAATGTGAAGGTGGGCATTTACTTTTATATCTTCACTTACGTTGAAAGTAAGAAAGTAGCAGAGTGAGGGCGAGTGCAGGTAAGGCGGTTTTTCATATTCGGAATAAACATGAGCGATGTGTATGGAGTACCATCTTTACAAATTGCAGCCCGCATGTATTGCCAGGTGTGCACGTCGAGGCTTAAAAAAGAAACACCCATGATTGCTATGGAAAAACGAAAGCTCCCGCGCTCTATTAATGGATCGACTATGTGGGTCCCGCTACGAAGGTCCACAAAATGTACCCACATATCGGATTCGTGCATCGCCGAGTGCGCACGCAGTATGACCAACGACACATGTGTGGCGTGCGTCGGCGCGGGCGTCAATGTGTTTACCAGGTGCGCAAAATCAATGCGCAATGTACTGAGTGACTGGCTGAATTCGAGAGCCGCCCTATTTTTACCAACGGTAACATTTATGTGAACGTAGGCAATAGAGCTGGTTTTATAATGAATACGCGATTTCACGCAAGAAAGTCAGCCGCAAATTTGCCGATGGTGAACGCCACTTCCAATGACATTTTAGGAGAAAGTGTAACATGCATGCTCACAGAATAAAATTTGTCGTCTCTCCTGATAAAGGTCATGCAAGGGCCGCCGAGTAGAGAAAACCGACGAAAGGGAATGGCAGCGAGAGACACGCGTACACTCTGCAAAGATGGTGGTTGCATTGCAACTCCTGGATTAAGAACAGGACTTTAGCACACTATTGTGCAGCACTTTTGTGCTGCGAGGACGGTCCAACTTCCTTCTTTGTAAAATAGATGGCCGTGTCTTTATCACGTGGGAGATTGATTGGGGTCCACCAGAAATGTTCTTCCCGAGAAAAAGGAAGCAAGAAATCAAAAAAAGTGTGATCGCACTTTTGAGGTATATACGTTGCATGAGAGCTCAATAAACTTCAACAGTGATTTTGATAGGGTGGAAAAAAGTTTTTGGATCTTTCTCACATTTGCTCGCTAACTACATATAATTTGTTTCAGGTCCTCGACTGGTGATCGCCCAAAATCTTAAGCTTAAAGAAATAAAGTTCAGCGACCACTTCATGAAAAAATCCAAACCGAATAGCGTAGTTATTCGAGGCAACCCTATGCTTCAATACAGTACTATAGAAAGGCTGAGGAAAAACTTCAGACCTGGAGCGCTCGACTTGCAAGTTTTTGGAGGTACACGCATTAAATACAAAAACTAACTAATTAAATTAATTACTTGCAACAAGCTATCTACAGTCTCCCAGATTGTCTCATTGTTTTTCAGAATGTGGTCCACCCCTTCCCCTCAGCTCTTTTGCTGCCTTTCTCGGTTGCAAGGAAGTGTTTGGCGTCATTTCTGTCAACAAGAACATCACCGAGGTCGCTCGATTACCCATTGTCAAGCGTTTGCAGTTCGAAGGTTGCCTGCACATCACAGATACCAAGATCTCAAACGTTGATTTTCTCGACGACATTTCGACCTTCACGATGTCTCCGTATCACAAGGAATGCGCACATGGTTAGTTCACTGCGGAAGGAGTATAGAAAAACGAACACCTCATTTTCCAATGTTGTGAGGTCTGGGCGAGCCATCAATTGATCACTCAAGTAAGGCACGCTCCGAGATTTGGCGTCCCGTCTCATCCTTGGTCAATGTAAAAAGACGGACAAGAGTTAATTTTAGGCGCCTTTGCGATTTCTGCGTGTGCAGCAGAACTTCGCTCGACCACAGTTCACACATTGGTCCCCTAACCCGCCTTCCTCTAGAACTGTGGCGTCGCGAGTAGAGGCTAAAAGAAAGGGTCTCCTTGTTTGTGGCGCAGTCAAGGTTTTTGCTTTCTTTCTTTTTCTCAAAACCACTCCACACATCTACACTCGCGTGCAAAGCTCTAGGACGAAAGCAACTATCGCCCAATATCTCACTACTAGCTAAGTAAGATTGATGAAATTTGGCATATACATAGAAAGAAATACAGTTTAGCGAAGAGGATTATTGACAGAATGACTCAGTGTGGGGGGGGGGGTTGGAAAAGACACTTCTCTTCGAAGACAGGGACGTAAGCGGTTGATGGGAAGCTACCCCAACTCATGGCTAACCGGTAAACATTAAGACGGGTTATCTCATGATGGGGTGTACGAACACTATTGCTACATGCTCGCATGCTGGCTACAAGGATGGTAAGAGTTCTTGTGGAGAAGCGATCCATTCCTCGAAGACCGCGATTGACAACTGCTGGACAGTTGTTGGCGCATGGGGATGCGCTACGAATCGCTTTCCTAAGTACATGCCTCATATGCTCCATAGGATTTGAGTGGAGAAAAGCGTAGCGGCTCAATCAATCGCCTGAGATTCTCACTTCCCAAGTTTTCACCTAAGCTTCTCGATGCGTTCGCACTCCTTCGTACTTATGGATTAGGATCAAGCACACCCCTGAAGAGATGAACATACGAATCAGAACTTAGAATCACTACTAACAGGACTAGGATTATTACTCACACTCAGGTCTATTCGAGTAGGGCACGCGATTCTCCAAATCGGTAGTCCATTCTTAATGAATCGGCACTTAGCAAATGTACTAGTTGATGCGCGGGTTTCAAAGGAACACAGGTACTGTTGGTCGGGTGAGAGAGATCATCCCTATGCGGTCACTGCGCCACTGTCCGGACTGGGATTACATGCCTTACAATCCTGATAAATGTTTTTGCAACTGCAGCATGTGACTGACGTGGGTCCATTTTTGCCTGTAGCAAAACCTAGCAATCACCTGCTGCTGCGGTTGTTCGTGATCCTCCACCTCTCCTTCTGCGGGCAGCAGTGGGTTTAGTTTAATTGCTCCCTATGCACACAGAACAACACTGCAAAACCACCAAATTCCTGTCCACACTCAAAAAACATATTCAGTTTTCAGGTGAGTCTTCCTTTGGCGAAGTCACCCTAGTGTTGTCTCAAAATTTGCTGTAATTAAGAAAACCACCATATTCCACAATAGCTTCTTCCTAATTAGCACACTCCCTCATGTTCAGTTCCACCAAACCTCTCCTCCTGCATGGCTACTCCCTTTTGATCCCTCCCAGATTGAGAAAGACCTTACGGTGCATGAGGTCCAGTACACTGTGCATGACTGTAAGACCTTTAGCATCATGTCTGCGAAGCTTCATCCGACTCCATTAAATGGTTGATAAGTTACGTCACTTTGTCCATCTCGTCCTCAAGTTTGGCCACACCAGTGTAGTTTCATTATTGAATACCAGTTTGGCTCGCGCGCATGTCGAAGTAGACTCCAGCAGACTGAGCATAGCCGGGCTCTTGTATTAAGCAACATGCATGCATTTCTGCATTTGACTGGAGAGTTCTCATGGAGCGTTCATAGTTGGCGATTAGGCGATTAGGCGATTAGTCTAAATGAAAAATATACGTATAGATTAGGCGAGTAGGCGAGTAGGCGAGTAGGCGATTAGGCGGTGAAGACTACATACGTATTGATTGGTTTGCTCCGCCCATAGAACGTTGTAGGCGAGTAGGCGAGTAGGCGAGTAGGCGAGTAGGCGAGTAGGCGAGTAGGCGATAGGCGATAGGCGATTAGGCGATTAGGCGATTTGCACACGGCGCACTCCTTAGTCGTCAAAATTGAGGCGCACATGCATATTAGCTTCTCACCCATACACTAGACTACTAGTTGGTAAAAGCAGATCTTGTCAAAGTGTTGCATACAATCCAGATATCACCTAATCGCCTACTCGCCTAATCGCCTACTCGCCTATCGCCTACTCGCGTACTCGCCTAATCGATACGTATCCTTTACTCATCGCCTGATCGCCTACTCGCCTAATCGCCTACTCGCCTACTCGCCTACTCGCCTAATCGCCTAATCGCCTAATCGATCCGTATACTTTTCATTTTGAATCATCGCCTACTCGCCTAATCGCCTAATCGCACGTACGATCGCCAACTATGAACGCTCCATTACAGTGATGGTGATAAAGCTGTAACTCCTCATAGGTCAGCAATACCCATAAACATCCATCATTTTCCGAAAACTAACACGGTCTAGCGGCCGATTAGGCTTGGAATAAGCAAAACAATTACTTTGCTGCTCATTATCACCCTTAGCGCGAACAACCACCATGCCTCGGATGTTGTAGTGATTTAGCGGTCGGATACTTTTCTATACCGGTGACATTGAATAGAAACACCACTGCTTATCGTGTTTCCGCTCACACCGAGTATTTTGAGGAACTCGGGCAAATTATCGGTCTGAAGGATGCTGACGATGATAACGCAAGTAGAACGAAGTGTTCTCCTCATCGCGCATATGCAGATTCTCCGTTTCGAGCTAATCGCTCTTATCAGTCCTCATCAGCTGTTATCAGCACCTTATTGCTGCTGGGCCGCGCGTTATAAATTTCGTGACATTTGCGCTCTAGCGCTCCTTATCAGCCCTTATCAGTTGTTATCACTTTCTGTCACCCACCAACAATGTTCCCGTCCCACCCCACATAACACTTGTAAGTATGGTTGCTCTGGTGTCAACGCGAGCCAGGTAACGGAATCGACGACTTTTGCGTTCTGACGCGCCTTATCAGCCCTTATCAGTTGTATCGCTTTCAATCACCCACCAACAATGTCCCGTCCCACCCCACATAACACCTGTGAGCATCCATGCTGGAGCGTTGATCACGGTAACTTTTCTTTATCGGGACGGCTTCCCTGGCCCTTACACTGAAGCAAACACTATGCGTCTGTCGAATCTCGACCGCGGCTTGTCCTTGTCTCTGATCGTGTGTATATGATCGGTCGTGTTGAAACCCACTGAGACCTGCTTGCTTGCGTGACTTTTTCATCCACTGTTCTGCCATCCCTGTAAAGTATTGCATGAATGAGTAGCAGAAGATTCGCGAAGCGATTGCAAAGTAAGAAAAGCCTCAAAAAAATTGGTGCTACTTTGTTACAGAGATCATCGATAATTTGAACCTTTGCATTCGTGATCCACAGTACGTGAAAAAGAAATTCAAAGGCTTAGTAATTATCCAGGATGAAAGCTGTGGTAAGCAGCAAATGTTCTGCATTGTGAACGTCTGATGTTTGGCCCATTTAGGGCATGAAATTGTTCGCGAATCATACTGTATATTGGGTTGTCCCATAATTCCTGTCCGATTCTGATTTAACTTCAAATTTCTTCAAGTCGAATTAGTGTCATTGCGAAATATGTTGGTATGTCAAAGAGTGCATCTAGACCGTTAGCCAGGACGTTTTGGAAGGTCAAACCCGCATCGGAATAACTGAGTAGAAGTCGAAATAGATCAATGACAATAACGAACGATTATGCTTTATGATCCTGAAATAGACACCGTCGCCAGCAGAGAGAAAATCGTGCCGAGGACGAGGCTGCAGAACTGCGACCCCCCCCCTGAAATCGAGGTCTGGCACGACCACCTGAAACAGAGCATACGCAATCACAACAGCCGAGTGTATCGATCAACGGCCGATTCAACGGCAGCTGCGGCGCGATTGTCACTGGGTCAGATTTGCTGAAATCCCAAAAAAAAAACCGTCGAAATCTACACCCTCGATGAAAAGGTTGCATTCCTCCATTTCAAACCTTTGAAGCACGCGGTAGGGTTAGATAGAGCTAGATTTGCTTCTATCAGGCAGTATTGGAATTGCTATGAAAGCCTTCCATTCGAAGAGATATAGTCTCACAAATCCGTCGAGGCAGCGTCGAGGACGCTGCAACTTTCATACGAGTTCTTGCCTCTTAGAAAGGCAATATTTCTCTAATTTTGTAGGAACGTGAAAAAGTGAAAACAGTTTCGGGAAGCGGAAGTTATGCGCTTTCTAACAGTATGTCTGGCTCCCCTACACATTCTCTAGTTGGGGAGATATTCGCGTCGAGGATCAGACGTAGAGGATGATTCTCGGCCGCTCAAAAAAAGACGCTGCCTTCTTAGCAACGCTGGAATGTGTCTAGAATACATTCTTCCAACATAAGCAATAGAAAAAGCCGCAATCGCCACTATACGATTTTTCTGGTATGGCTGTCCCTCGAGCCAGGAGGGTCCACTGGACAACTCTGCACGCGACAGGGACGAATGGAGACGTTGCTGGCGCCCGCTCGAGCAATTCGATGATCAACGGGACGACAGGTGATACAGGTGATGGCTATGCGTCCGACCTTCGCTCGAAGTTGCAGAATCGATTGAAAGGTGTTATATGATCATGACCAGTTGACAGAAGCTGCATTGTAGTAAACACATTTCGTAACTCCTATAACCTGAGGAACAGCTTCATTTGCCCAGGGCCTTTCCTTCACGGTTGTCGTTTTTGCGACAGCGCCCCTAACAACAGTGCCATTCTCAACAAGGTTAGGGAAGAGGGCGGCGATAGATGGAGGAGGTGCCTTTGCAGCGCGTGCGCACATGTGGCAGTCTTCTTTGCGGGGATGCACTTTCATTCTTTGTACTGCCTTCAAATACGCCCTTCTCATGAAGGTGGAGGAATGGAGCGACTGAACCTGCAAAGAAAATTTAATATCATGTTTTTTTCAGATATTTTCATTTTCTGCTGCGCTATACCCTCTTACCTATCTGCACCACGATACCACTGCTGTTACTGACCCCCAAGAGTACGACCCCCATGACCCAGCCCAACAAGTACGACCCCCCTGTCGAGGATTTCCTCGACCGATATTCACCCTGGTCGGAAGGGAGACACTAGGGAAGATCAGCGCTGTATTTGGCGCAGTCTCTGCCACTGATCGGTCACGGAGCTGGTGGTTTGTTTGCAATGGCAATGACAGTACGAGCTGTGAAATTCGGTCTCTGGGCCTCCACTCACTTTCGATTAGACCCCTTGTACCCCACGGATTGAAAGTGCACACAGAGATTGCTACCTAGGTATTGTATTAGGACGGTAGGAAAGTCCTGAGCCGTTTGACACTTTTTTTGCTTTACTTTTTTATTCCACCTACAATGGAATCTACTCAACAATATAACCACCATTAGTCAAAGAAATCGCTGACCGCTCATTCAACGTCTTCAACTTTAGTGAATTTTTTCTTCGCTAGGAATGGGGATGAAATAATTGGTAATCAGAGAGGGCAATGTCTTCGGAATAAGATGGGTGGGGAACCGCGT